ATGAAGGAGGAATCTTGAACAGTGAAGGAGTGTTGAGCAGTTGATGGAACAGTGTAGGGAAAGGGATTACTGAGCAGAGAGAGGAGTGTGCCGCAGTAAAGGCAGGGGTATTGAGCGAGATGGAGCAGTGACAGGAATGAGGTATTGCAGCAGTGATGGAGCAAGTGAAGGGAGAGGTAATTTGAGCAGTGATCGGTGCAGTGAAGGGAGAGGTATAGACGCGGTGTTGGAGCAGTGAAGGAGAGGTATTGCAGCAGTGATGGAGCAGTGAAGGAGAGGTATTAAGCCAGTGATGGCAGCCAGTGAAGGAGAGGTATTGAGCACGTGATTGGAGCAGCAGTGATGGAGAGGTTGAGCAGTGATGGAGAGGTATTGACGCAGTGATTAGAGCAGTCGAAGGAGAGGTTTGAGCAGTGAGGGGAGCAGTGATGGAGAGGTATTGAAGCAGTGATGGACGATGGGTATTGAGCAGTGATAGAGCAGTGAAGGAGAGGTTTTGAGCAGCCGATGGAGCGTGAAGGAGAGGTATTGACGCAGTGATGTGCAGTGTGAGGAGGTAGAGTTATTGAGCAGAGATGGAGAGGTATTTGAGCGTGATAGAGTAGTAGCAGTGAAGAGAGGAGGTATTGAGCAGTGATGGGGCAGTGAAGGAGAGTTATTGTGAGCAGTGATAGAGCAGTGAAGAGAGGTATTGCAGCAGTGATGGAGCAGTGAATGGAGAGTATGCAGCAGTGATGTGGAGCAGTGACGGGCTAGGTATTGGAGCAGTAGATTATCCGAGAGAGTGATAAGGAAGAAGGCATGGAGCAGTGATGGAGCAGTGAAGGAGGAGGTTATTGAGCAGTTGATGGCAGCAGTGACGGGAGACGGTATTGAGCAGTGATGGAGAGTGACTGGAGCAGTAGGGACGAGTATTGAGCATTGATGGACGCAGTGAAGGAGAGGTATTGAGCAGTGATGGAGAGCAGTGATGGAGGAGGTTATTGAGCAGTGATAGAGGCAGTGAAGAGAGGTATTGAGCAGTGAGGAGCAGTGAGGAGAGGTATTGAGCAGCGATGGAGCAGTGAAGGAGAGGTATTGAGGCCAGTGATTGGGCAGGAGGGAGAGGTACTGAGCAGTGATGGAACAGTTGAGGGGAGAGTGTATTGCAGCAGTGATGAGCAGTGAAAGGGGAGGTATGGAGCAGTGATGGAGCAGTGAAAAAGGAGAAGGATTGTGTGCAGTGAGTGGTGCAGTGATGGAGAGGTACTGAGCAGTGTGGAGCAAGGGTTGAATGGAGCAGTGAGGGAGAGGTACCTGCGAGCAGTGATGGAGCACGTGTAGTGGAGAGAGGTACTGAGCAGTGATGGAGCAGTGATGGGAGAGGTACTGAGCAGTGATGGAGCAGTGATGGAGTATGCTTGAGAGCACTGAGGCAGGACACACCAGGGACGTGAACTTTAACCTGTAAATTATTCAGTGTTCTCTGAGACCAACCCCTGTGTGTTGTGTGTGTGTATGTGTGTGTGTATGTGTGTGATATGTGTGTGTGTATGGGGTTGTGTGTGTATGTGTGTGTGTAATGTGTGTGTGTGTGTATGTGAGTGGGTGTGTGTCTGTTGATGTGTGTGTGTGTATGTGTGTGTTGTGTGTGTGTGTGTGTGTGTGTGTGTGTGTGTGTGTGTGTGAGTGTGTGTGTGTATGTGTGTGTGTATGTGTGTGTGTATGTGTGTGTATGTGTGTGTGTGTATGTGTGTGTGTGGGGGGGATGTTCCCTCACCTAAATTTTTGGGAAAAATCGTCTTTGAGGAAATGGTATGGTGATACCGAGAAGATGTGGAAAAAGACACTTGTACATAAGTGTCTTTTTCCACACAATATCGTCTTTGTATTAATGGATAAAGCCACTGCTGTGAGAAACCTCTTTAAATAAAGATACCCCAGGTGTTGGTATAAACCTTGGTAATAAATACCGACAAGTTGGTTTAGAAAGACACGTAAGCAAACACTATAACATATTTATTAGAAAACGTTTCGGTCCTGGGACCTTGATCACTTCTAACATACAGAGGTAGAAAGACATTATATATAGGCGGAGAGTGAAATGTGACGCACGTGACCTGAGGAATGTCATAAGAACATAAGAATGGAGGAACACTGTAGAAGGCCTACTGGCCCATGCGAGGCAGGTCCTTATCAAAACAACCTCTGCCTATGATGAGGACCAGTAGACGATGAATCATGTGACTCCTGTGTTGTTGGGTTGGTGTGCTTAAGTATCATGTATGCCAATGTTTTTGAAATTTTGTAGTTTCCAGTGTTGCGTTCTATAGTGTCGGTGACGGTGATTAGTGAGGCTTCTAGGCACCGTCGGCGTCTGAGGTCTGGTTCGGTGAGAACGAGTTGTGCCTCGTTCCAGTTCATCAAATGCCCCGTGGAGTCTCTGTGGAGGACACAGGCGTACCTTACATCGTCTCTGTTAGAGGCATTTCGATGCTCATTCAGGCGGACTGCAAGATCTCTGTCTGTCTCGCCTACATATTTCTTGGGACAGAACCCACAGGGGATAGTGTAGACGCCTGCTGTAGAAGTTAGAGGTGTGGGGCTGCGTTGATGATATATTGGTTTTCTATCCAATATCCAGGCCCTTCTCAACAAGATCAATGCAGTTGAACCATCAATAAAGTTTACACTTGAACTCGAAAATGATGGCAAACTTCCTTTCCTCGACGTTCTACTGTGCAGATCTCCCGACAGTGACAAACTTCTCTTCAAAGTGTATAGAAAACCTACCAACAAGGACGATCTTATACACTTTTATTCACACCAAGATACCCGCACTAAGAGAGGAGTCCTCATTGGCTTCTTCTTGAGAGCTCTTCGCATCTCCAGCCCTTGTTTTCTAGAAGAAGAATGCACTTACATAACACAAGCCTTTACACGTCTTCAGTTCCCATCTTTCTTCATCCGAGATTGCAGACTCAAGGCACAAGCTATCCTCAACAAACCGCCCATGGAACAGCCCCTAAACAGTTCATAGTACTCCCATGTGGCGATGTTGCCACGAATACTCGCCGGGCACTTGCTATGAGTAACATCAAAAACATCCTCTATCAAAGACCTCACTACTAACGCAGCCCACACACCTCTAACTTCTACAGCAGGCGTCTACACTATCCCCTGTGGGTTCTGTCCAAGAAAAATTTTAGGCGAGACAGACAGAGATCTTGCAGTCCGCCTGAATGAGCATCGAAATGCCTCTAACAGAGACGATGTAAGGTACGCCTGTGTCCTCCACAGAGACTCCACGGGGCATTTGATGAACTGGAACGAGGCACAACTCGTTCTCACCGAACCAGACCTCAGACGCCGACGGTGCCCAGAAGCCTCATAATCACCGTCACCGACACTATAGAACGCAACACTGGAAACTACAAAATTTCAAAAACATTGGCATACATGATACTTAAGCAGCACCAACCCAACAACACAGGAGTCACATGATTTCATCGTCTACTGGTCCTCATCATAGGCAGAGGTTGTTTTGATAAGGACCTGCCTCGCATGGGCCAGTAGGCCTTCTACAGTGTTCCTCCATTCTTATGTTCTTATGACATTCCTCAGGTCACGTGCGTCACATCTCACTCTCCGCCTATATATAATGTCTTTCTACCTCTGTATGTTAGAAGTGATCAAGGTCCCAGGACCGAAACGTTTTCTAATAAATATGTTATAGTGTTTGCTTACGTGTCTTTCTAAACCACCTCAGGTGTTGCACATGTGTTAAATTTCCCATCTTGTCGCCATGGTAAACCATTATTATAAACATTCCCAACTCTTAAACATCTGCTTGAAGAGATTCCAACTCGCCTTACAGAAGAATCGCTTACTATGAGGAAGGAGCAATCTTACCGTACAGAAAGATAACTTGCTTTAGAAAGACACGTAAGCAAACACTATAACATATTTATTAGAAAACCTTTCGGTCCTGGGACCTTGATCACTTCTAACATACAGAGGTAGAAAGACAGACAGACCATAAACACATCATCTATCAAAGACCTCACTACGAAACGCAGCCCCACACCTCTAACTTCTACAGCAGGCGTCTACACTATCCCCTGTGGGTTCTGTCCCAAGAAATATGTAGGCGAGACAGGCAGAGATCTTGCAGTCCGCCTGAATGAGCATCGAAATGCCTCTAACAGAGACGATGTAAGATACGCCTGTGTCCTCCACAGAGACTCCACGGGGCATTTGATGAACTGGAACGAGGCACAACTCGTTCTCACCGAACCAGACCTCAGACGCCGACGGTGCCTAGAAGCCTCACTAATCACCGTCACCGACACTATAGAACGCAACACTGGAAACTACAAAATTTCAACAACATTGGCATACATGATACTTAAGCAACACCAACCCAACAACACAGGAGTCACATGATTTCATCGTCTACCCGTCCTCATCATAGGTAGAGGTTGTTTTGATAAGGATGTGCCTCGCATAGGCCAGTAGGCCTTCTACAGTGTTCCTCCATTCTTATGTTCTTATGACATTCCTCAGGTCACGTGCGTCACACCTCACTCTCCGCCTATATATATAATGTCTTTCTACCTCTGTATGTTAGAAGTGATCAAGGTCCCAGGACCGAAACGTTTTCTAATAAATATGTTATAGTGTTTGCTTACGTGTCTTTCTAAACCAACTTGTCGGTATTTATTACCAAGGTTTATACCAGAAAGATAACTAATTAATATATTTACTATTATTATTGTTATTATTATTTATTATTATTATTATTATTATTATTATTATTATTATTATTATTATTATTATTATTATTATTATTATTATTATTATTATTATTATTATTATTATTATTATTATTACTTTTCATTATTATTATTATTATTATTATCTGCATCATCATGGATAAAGAGCTCTTGATTCAAGAACATCATAACACTCTCACCTTCTGCCTTAAAGATGGCAGTCTTCAAGGGAGTTACTTAACTAACCTGGTTGAAGAGATTGTTCCTGTTGAGGTGGTTCTTGTGGAGGAGCAGCTTGAGGAAGGTGCCTGTGCACTCCACCGTCACTGACTTCAGCTCCCGCCCCTTGGAACTGCGAGTGTTCTTGTCGAGAGGAACTTTTAGCCTAGCAGAGCGACTTGGCGTTAAAGAGGCAATCCCCTTCCCCCGGCATACGTCCCCAATGTGCAACTCAACTTTCTCAGCTGCTTTTTTTATCCTCAGTTAAAATATATCCCGAAATACTCAGGATATTTAAAATTTTAGCTGCAATAAATATTAAACATAATTTTTTTTTTGTATACGTAAAATACATAAAAAGGTTAGGATCGTCTCGATTAAAAAAGAAATCTCTCTATTTTTCCCTGAGGGATAGTCCTGAAAATTTTCGATATAGTTAATAAAATATATAAATTATATATATTTTATATATATATATATATTTATATATATATATATATAAAAATAAAAAAAAAAAAAAAAACTTAAAAAAATTTTCCCCAAATAATTTTAAACAAATTTATGAAGGTTCTTCGAAAAAAACAACCAAAACACATTCTGACAAAATTAACTCTTAAAAAAGTTCGAGGGGGCTCTCTGGGGGGTCAAGCTGGGGGGCTCCCTGGGGGGGCCGTTGAGGCCCCGGGGGGTTAAAGGGCTGCGGCCCCCGGGGGGGCCAGTTGAGGCCCCTGGGGGGGTCAAGCTGCGGCCCCCCTGGGGAGGCCAGTTGGGGCTCCCGGGGGTAAGCTGAGGCTCCCGGGGGGCCCATTGAGGCTCCCGGGGGGTTTTCAACTGCGGCTCCTGGGGGGGCCCAGTTGAGGCCCCGGGGGGGGGTCAAGTGGGGCTCCCTGGGGAGGCCATTTGAGGCTCCCTGGGGGGTCAAGCTGGGGCCCCCCTGGGGGGGCCCATTTTACCCCTGGGGGGTCAAGTGGGGCCCCCGGGGGAGGCCATTGAGGCCCCCGGGGGGTCAAGTTTTCGGCTCCTGAGGAGGCCATTTTGAGGCTCCCTGGGGAGGCCAGGCTACGGCTCCGTGGGGGGGCCCCAGGCTGCAACCTCTGGAAGGTAAAGGGGCTGCGGCTCCCAGGGGGGTCAAAGGGGCTCCCAGGGGAGGGTCAAACTGCGGCTCCCAGGGGTCAAACTGCGACTCCCGGGGCCCAAAAACTGGGCCCCAGAGGGGTCAAACTGGGCTCCCAGGGTTTCAAACTGCGACTCCCAGGGGGGTCAAACTGCGACTCCCGGGGGGCAAACTGCGACCCCCAGGGGGGGTCAAACGGCGGCTCCCAGGGGGGTAAAACTGGGCCCCCCGGGGGGGTCAAACTGCGGCTCCCAGGGGGATAAAATGCGGCCCCGGGGGGGTTCAAACGCGACTCCCAGGGGGTCAAAACTGCGACCCCCAGGGGGGTCAAACTGCGGCTCCCAGGGGGATAAAACTGCGGCTCCCGGGGGGGTTCAAACTGCGCTCCCGGGGGGGGTCAAACTGCGACCCCCAGGGGGGTCTCACTCCCCAAAAACTTTAGCACTCACAAAAACTATTAAAAGTTTTATCCTTCTGTAAATCCTTTTGTAAATACCTTTTGTCTTTTGGGAGAGAGAGAAGAGAGAGAGAGAGAGAGAGAGAGAGAGGGAAAGGAAGAGAGAAGCCAATAAAAGAGTCCTTGCTTTTCTTAATATACGTAAATGACAGTTAGATGTTTGAAACCAATGTATTTTATTCGGCAACGTAAAATTAAGAAAGGAAAAAAACAGGGAAAGGTTGGAGCCCTGAACATGCAGCAGAGGGGTTTGAATCAAGTGGCTGCTGGAGTTCGACCCAAAAACAAGAAAAAGGTCATCACCCCGGAGAGGCTGGAAGATGACCACATAAAGAGCAAAAAATAGAGAGGAAAAATTTAATTCTCTCGCTCGTTGTTTCGTCAGGCCCCCGAACTTAAGGAAGCAATTGTGAGATTTTTCGGTCAATCCTAGACCATGAACCAAATGATATCCAGGAAGGATCGAAACATAGTCACAAGTTTCCCCAAGGGGCGGGTTTGTTGTGAATTTTTCCCAAGCCAGGGTGTTGTGACTTTTTTATTCACTCGTGTATATGGGCCAGAACCTTTTTAAAAGGTTATGACTCAAAACAACACTACTGGGAAGGTTGGGTTGCGTCCTGTCGGAGCAGGGGCGGGGGAGGGGACGCAGTAAACTTATCATTTTTCACAACTGGAGTCATTTTGGGTATGCAGTGGGGGGTTTTAAAGGAATGTGGGGGTAGAATGGATAAATGTTGAAGTAATCTCAAGGAATAGCGGAGCAATGAGGGAGAAGTGATGTATAGTGAGGAGGAGTTTTGAGTAATGAAGGAGGAGTCTTGGGGTGAAGGGGTGTTTGGGAGTGATGGGAAAAGTGTAGGAAGGGTACTGAGCGGGAGTGTTGAGCGTAAAGGAGGGGTATTTACAGTGAGGAGGGTATTGGGGGCAGTGGGAGAAGTGAAAAAAGGATTGACAGTGAAACGATGTTGAGCGTGAGGGGGCAGTGTAGAAAAGGGGATTGAGCAGAGAAGGAGTGTTGAGCAGTGAAGGAGGGGCATTGAGCAGTGTGGAGCGTGAAGAATAAATTTAGCAGTGAAGGGGAAAGGAACTAGGGGAGTGATGGAGCAGTGAAGAAGAGGTATTGAGCAGTGATGGGAGGGATTGAGCAGTGATGGAGAGGTTTGAGCAGTGAGGAGTATGAGGAGAGGTATTGAGCAGTTGGGCAGTGAAGGGGAGGAAATTTAGCAGTGATGGAGCGGAAAGGGGAGGTATTTAGCAGTGATGGAGTAGTATGGAGAGGTTTGAGCAGTGATGGTTGAAAAAGAGGTATTTACAGTGAAGGAGAGGTACTGGCAGTGATGGAGAGGTATTGAGCATGATGGGAGTTATTGAGCAGTGATGGAGCAGTGATGGAGAGGTATTGAGAAGTGATGGAGCAGTGAAGGAGAGGTATTGAGCAGTGATGGAGCAGTGAAGGAGAGGTATTTAGCAGTGAGGGGGTGAAGGAGAGGTATTTAGGGTGATGGAGCAGTGAAGGAGTGTATTGAGCAGAGATGGAGCATGAAGGAGAGGTTTTTAAGCAGGATGGAGCAGGAAGGAGAGGGATTAGCATGATGAAGCGTGAAGGAGAGGTATTGAGCAGTGAGGGAGCAGTGATGGAGAGGGGATTGAGCGTGATGGGCAGTGAAGGAGAGGTATTGGGCAGTGATGGAGCGTGATGGAGCAGTGAGAAAAGGATTGAGGGGATGATGAGGGAGTAAGAAGAGGCATTGGCATTTATGGACAGTGAAAGAGAGGGATTGGCAGTGTGGAGCAGGGGGAGAGGTATTGAGCAGTGAGGGCAGTGAGGGAGAGGTATTGGCATGAGGAGAGTGAAGGAGGGTATTTAGCAGTGATGGAGGGGAGTGATGGAGAGGTATTGGCAGTGAAGAGCAGTGAAGGGGGAGGTATTGAGCAGTTATGGAGCAGTAAGGAGAGGGTATTGAGCAGTGATGGACAGTGAAACGGGGGGGTTTGAGCATGATGGGGCAGTGAGGGGGAGGTACTGAGCAGTGATGGAGCAGTAAGGGGAGGGATTGAGCATGATGGAGCAGTGAAGGGAGGGATTGAGCAGTGAGGAGCAGGAGGGAGAGGTACTGACAGTGAGGAGCAAGGGAAAGGGGAGGTACTGAGCATATGGAGCAGTGAAGGAGAGGGATTTAGCAGTGATGGGCAGTGATGGGCGCTTGAGAGACCCGAGGACAGACACAAGAGTGGGGCACCTTTAACCAGTTATTATTCAGTTTTCTTGAGCAACCCTGTGTGTATTTTGGTGTATTGTGTGTTGTGTGTTGTAGTGTGTGTGTATTGTGTGTATGTGTGTGTGTATGTGTGTGTGTATGTTGTGTTGTGTGTGTGTGTGTGTGTGTATGTGTGTGTGTATGTGTGTGTGTGTGTGTGTATGTGTGTGAGTATGTGTACTCACCTAGCTGAGGTTCGGGGGTGGTTTTCCGGGGTCCTGGGCCCCGCCTCTTACTGATCGCTATAGGGGCACTCTCCCCGACCTGAGTTTATATACCTCTGCTTAAAGCTATTTGGATCCCGCCTCCACTCATCGCTTCCCAAACTATTCCACTTTCTGACTACTCTGTGGGGTGAAGAAATACTTCCCAACATCCCCTTTATTCATCTGTGTCTTCAACTTCCACTGTGTTTCCCCTTTTACTGTGTTTTAAACCTGGAACATCCCGTCTTTGTCCACCTTGTCAATTCCTTCAGTATTTTTTATGTCGTTATCATGTCCCCCCTATCTCTCCCGTCCTCCATGTCGTCAGGTTGATTTCCCTTAACCTCTCCCCGTAGGGCATACCTTTAGCTCTGGGACTAGTTTTTTGGGAAACCTTTGTCTTTCTCTGTTTTTTTACGTGTTGTGTGTGTGTGGTGTGTGTGTGTGTGTGTTTTTGTTTGTGTGTGTGTGTGTGTGGTGTGTGTGTGTGTGGTGTGTGTTGTGTGTGTATTTTTGTGTTGGGGTGTATGTGTGTGTGTAGTGTGTGTGCATGTGTGTGTTTATGTGTGTGTGTACTCCCTATTTGTACTCACCTATTTGGGTTGCAGGGGGTCGAGTCCTAGCCCTCCCCCGCTCCCCCGGTTGCTACTAGGCCCTCCCCTTTTCCCCCGCCCCTGAGCTTTACAAACCTCGTCTTAAAATGTGTATGGTTCCTGCCTCCACTACGTCTTTTTTGGGGTATTCCACTCCTTACAACTCTATGACTGAAGAAATACTTCCTACTATCTCTCTGACTCATTTGTGTCTTCAACTTCCAATTGGCCTCTTGTTTCTGTGTCCCCTCCCGGGAAACATCCTGTCCTTGTCCCCCTTGTTTTTCCCACGCAGTATTTTATATGTCTTATCATGTCTCCCCTGACCCTCCTGCCCTCCAGTGTGGTCAGGCCGTTTTCCCAAAATCTTTCTTCATAGGCATTCCCCTTAGTTTTGGAACTAACCTTGTTGCAAACCTTTGTACTTTCTCTATTTCTTGACGTGCTTTATAAAGTGCGGGTTTCCCAAACAGGTGCTGCATACTCCAGTATGGGCTGACATACAGGGTTTGTACTTGTCTTAATTTTCCCTTGCTAAGGTATCGGAATGTTTTCTCGGTTTGCCGGCGCCCATATCTGCGCAGTTATCTATTAGTGTGCTCCGGGAATCTCGG